AAGTCTAACTTAATTGATTTTCATAAGTTCACCAACGTACTTTGTGTGAGATGTATATCATCCTAAAAATGTATGGATTTCAATAAAACATCAAACTAAAAAACAAATAAAACGGAATTAAAAAACAGTCTGTGATATAATTGAACCCAATGAAACCGAATACCCGCAGATTTTTTAACAAATATTCACTCTTTACCCCGTAGTATTCTTTATTCGAACAGCTACACCCTCAGTTGATATTTTTTCCATGAAGGCCGAGAACACATGTGGCTAATTTAAATGTCCTGCCTCCTGAATCTCGTCTCTGGGGGATGGGGAGCGGGTAATCTGGGAGATTGATGTGGCAGTGAATTATGCACGATCCACGGCCACCTAGATATCTCCCCCCGGACAGTGTCTTGACCGCGAGAAACTGCGTGGAACGACGAGAGACTCAGACTGCCTGTTACTAGAGTGAGATCACTTATAGACCCACGCCATTTATCAAAGTTGTGAACTGAAACATGTTTATATTTGTAACTACGGTCGCATATTTTCTACACATTGGTTCCTCAGTGATGTTGGTTGGATATACCAAAGCATAAAATGTGATTGAATTAAATGTTTCCCGACAGTTTCAAATGACAATTGTATTATTTTTTGTATAGTCCTCCATGTGACTCATTTTTATGGTAGTTATGGTTAGTTATAAAACGAATTGTGTATAATGGCATTGTTGATTTTTAATGCATGACATGGCGTGGTTAAGAAAAATGTGTTTTACAGTCCTAGAACTAAAGGGAAGCTTTTGTCGATTTAGTCCAATTATAACGTTTACAATTCAACTACAGGTTTTCAACAACCACTGACACTGTAAATGCGATTGAGAAACTTACATGACATTATCGAATGTTTAACTTTAACCCCAAACTTGTACCATCACCCAATAATATTCACAACCCACTCTGAACGTAGCCACTATTAACAGCATTACACAAAAAGACACATCCACATCGACCAACTCGTCGAAATCGAGCAAGAAGTGGACGGGTTCAGGAGCGGTGGGAGGATAAGAATCAGGGAGACCGACTATTAGAAAAATTGATGTTATTAAGTCAGCATTAACTAAGAGGCCATCTTCGGCGACCGGGAGCGGCGATTTCATGCGTCCCACAAATTGCGAGTTTAACCCGCAACCCGATTCTGCAATCGTGAATGAAAACGGATAATTGCGTAGGTAATCGACTCGCTACGTGATAGACCGGGGATGGCGGTCCCGTGGTCCCGTGGTCCCGTGGTCCCGTGGTCGCGGCGAATCAGAAATGACGGGGGCGACGAGCTGCTTCTACTGTTAACGGTAGGAACATTCTGTTATAGAACACACAGTTACCATCAGTAGTTAGTAGTGTGAGGGTTGTGAGTCAATAACGAGGTAGTAAACACTCATCATTGTTTTGTGTGTGTTATTTTGGACTTTCACTCACTGGAATGAATTTTTCAGAAAGATATCGTGAACAAGCTCAAAGACGCCTATGGTAAAACTATAGAGAGATATTCCTAACGAAGATGTAGACTACTCCATGATAACACCCTATTCTCAACTCTTCACTATTCGTTCTCCACAAATATACAGTAACTGTCCAACAAAACCCTAATTATTCTAGAGTTCCCTCGCATTCTCCATCCTTCATTTTCAATCATCACCATCCAACAAGATTCACATTTTTCATAAGCCCACCCCCTTGATGATTGCCCACCCCCTTTCCCTTATTTCTAACACCACTGCCCAACAAAACCCAAATCCATCTATGACTCTACCTACATTTTCCCTTCTTCATTTTCAATCATCACCACTAGAAAAAAAAATCTAATTTATTTTCTCCTTTGATTGTCCACTGTTTCGCTTATTTCCACCAATACCACTTTCCAACAAACCCCAAATTTATCTTGTTCCCTCTAATCCTCCATTTCTTCATTTCCTACCAACACCATCCAACATCCATACTCCAGAGTTCCCCGGTCTCCATCTCCACCATCCAACAGCTCATTACTCCACTGTATTTGTCCAAGCCCCACCTCTGCTCCACCGATGCCTCTACCGACCAATTATCTCCGACTATCGGCCTCGCAGATCCTGGTGAAATAGAGTTATAAATCACCAGGTAGAGCTGGTAGCGCTCAAATTCTACATGGTTTATGCCGAGAGCCTACGGCCGCACAAAATATTGGCACTGGTTGTCTCCGGGTCACGATTTTATCTGGCTAATTTCCCCTCGGTCATGTGGCGTATAAACCATTCGTTGACTGCACGAAGTCGACTAGCCACTCGTCCTGGAGGTGAGAGTTCACGGTGACGTCACTCAGGTTGAGTTGTGATTGGATGCGTTGAGAGGTAGGCTAGTTATGTTATGTCAGTGAAAAAAGGATTGCCCAACGAGAAAAGTGGTCTTTGAGTTATGTTACCACAAAATTATGATTTATTCAATACATATCCACAAGTAGCAAACATTTTACTTTACAAACACAGTTTTCCAACTACAGCCAAGCCAGGAACCGTCGTCCCATAAATCCTCTGATCCTATCAGAGCACGGGACTCATTTTGGGGGAGGTGATGAGCAAGGGGGGGGGGGGGTGGCGTGTCTGGTAGCACAATTAGAGCCGCTCTGAATTGCAAAACAAGCGAACCTCACAATTACATGCAAATACACAGATGACCCGGCCAGATACAGGCTGAGGACGACTCGCTACCGTCTTGAGGGGGCGACAAGTAAAAATAATGTCTTGGTGGGAGACATGCTTTATGTGCATGGGGTGGTCACGAAGTAAAATCTGGTATTGACTCTAGCAATGTTATATGCTTCAATTATTTTGAACGTTCGAAGTTCAATTGTTTTCTATATAAGTTGGACGTCAAGATTTTTTTCAATTTCCTGGGGTATCGTCGTAATATCGTTTAGGTACCTGCGTAAACACTGTTCCGCGCACAAAAAAATCATTGTTAAATAGTCAAAAACATAAAACACAAATCGAAAACAGAAGACAAACTACCAACAAAACAACTTAAACTCCCCCAAACCTCGATGCAACGACGCAACAAACAGCTCCGCTTCTCGCACCCATGCAAGTATAATCAACCTCTTGATGTTATTGATACTTCCCTCCTTCTCACTCACACAAACGTACACGCGCACACACACGGGCGCACCCGCGTCCCCGTCGCCTCCGAATGTATCACCTTTCATTATTTTTAACCATGAATAAATTTACATGATGCTGTATGGAAACCGGCATCGATTTTCGTTCGCCCTCCAAATCAATTTTCTAAATTGGTCTCCGTCGTCTCACGGCTTCGAGGCGTCGGAATTCATTTGCGTTTTTGTTTTGTCTTTGATTTGTGTTTTGTTACGGTGGTTTTTGAGCCATTGTCTTTGTTTGGCTTAGGGTAAGGTACTTGTTGGTGTAAATGGACTAGCAACGGCGGTGTTTTAATGTTTTATAGCAATATTTTAGTAAATAACCCTTCCAATGGCGTAGCAATGAATTGCAAAAAAATCTACAATATGACCGAATGCTTATTGCTTAAGTCAGAGAATGGTTACACGCTAAGAAATGGAGAACGAGGAATAAAACCATTGCAGGAATACAGCGTGAAATTTCTCTGGAAACTTTAATTTCTTCCAACATTTCGACATTATAAATGTTAACAAAAAATATTAAGCTAGGAATTTATACGACCGTATAAAAACCAAATATTGTAACGTTACGTAGCAGCTATTTCAATATAGAGTACGTAGTGAATTTCACCCGTATATTTCCAAGACGCATGAGAAAAAATGTCAAACTTCTTAAGAAATGCTATAATTTTATTTTTTGCAAAGTAACGAGATTGTACTCAAAGACCGTGGATTTAGTTCAACCTGATTTTCATGCAAAGAGAAAAAACGAGTTCATTGTATAACGCTGGTTTTCAAATTTTTTTTTTTTAACTTAACGATTGGGAACAACTGCCTGTGCAAAACATTTCATTTTTTGAATTTTGATTGTTATTTATTCTATTTGCACTTACTTACCCTCTTGGCTTTACACATGTATATATTAGACACATTTCAATGCACGACAAGGACTTCTCGAACCTATCCGTCTGGATGGTCACTAAAGCCCGTACATTTACGGATCCAGTTTATGGGCTGTTAGGATTTGCATGGAGCCCCAAGGGAGCCGGTCACTTAGGGTTCGGTCCAAAAACCGCCCCCGCCTCAGGTTTATGTCAAAGTCCCTTCAGCGAAGCTATTGTTTCACGGAGAGATGACTCTGCGAGTTTTATCGTGTCCTTGGGGCATTCTGATCCGACGTGTCTAAAATTCCCCATAGAAGTAACTGGAGTCTGGAATCTATCCATGTATAATGATGAAATATCTTAAGTGTTTTGTCACACACAAAAAATAAATTTGTAACTGTACAAAATTTGGAGAAATTTCTAGTTTAAGATGGTTCCTAATGTTTCGTCATAAATACAAATGCAATTCATTTTGGAAACAGATAAGGGACATACAAATTGGAGACAAAAAATAAACTCAGTACTATCCCCTAAAAAATACTTTTTCTTTCTTTCCAGTTTGCACCTAGCTAATGTAGCCTTCTTGAAATACTGTATGTATTACAAAGCTTTGACGAAAAAAATAATAACACTGACTAAGACATCAATTTGGTACTCATTCACTTAAAAAACTTTACATATTGTGCTCTGAGTTTATCCAATTTGCAATTTCATCGTGAGGGAATCAGTTATAATAATAAAAACGATTTAACCAACACCAAAAACTACAACAAATCATTACACAGTTCAACACCACAACCCAATCAAGAAAATACTGAGGAACTAACCATGCAACCTTCTAAATAATATGTGAACGTATAATATTTCACCCCCTCGAATATTACCAATCTATATAGGATATATTTTAATCAATATATGTTAATACCTTAGTGTGTATTTGTACAAATAAATGTCTTTACTCACCATGAGGTACCCAGCCGTGAGAGCAGGACTCGCAGTAGCGAATATGCAGCTTGCCAGGAGTGAAGCACTCGCAGGTACATCCGGGGACTGTGCACCGGATAGCCTGGAACACACGAGAACATTATAGAACACAAAGTCAAAAAATATTGGATGAACAAGAAAATTAGGGTAGTCCTTATAATCTCAAACTTTGGGGTAGTTAGAGGAAACAAAGTTAACACCAGAACATAGACATTGGATTGGGATATGTTCATTGAAGGGTTGGAGTTATCTGTGTAAGTTCAGTAGTTACTGGATAGGGGATGGAGTTAGTATCAATCTTACCGCAACACAGAAGAAAGTTTAAGTTAATGAAACGATATATATGTACAAATAGAGGGTCTTAATTTCATATGAGCACTTAGTTGGGAAAGTTGTTTAGTTAACAGGAACTAGGAAAAGAAAAGGATGCACTGATCCTATATAGAACCTCAACATGTATATGGAAATTGATAAGAGATCACGTCATTAATGTAAAAATTGGTCAAACGTAAAAACATTGAAAACATTTAATTTGTGTGACACAAGTAAATCGAATATAGAAATTAATAAAGAATCAGGTATCAAAAAAATAATATGATCCTATGGACTGATTTTCGATAGTCACCAAATGTTGGAAATGTACTCAAGGTGATTTATATCACGATTATGACGTCTTTAACCATAAGGTCAAGCCAAAACTGCAAAATCCTAACTATAGAATGTTTGATATGACTTCGGGTTAAGAAAGCTATTCTGAAATCAACATTTACCTAAAAAGATAGCGGATTCAAAAGTTCTTAAACACTGAAACAGAGCTATAGTCAAAATTTAATTTTCGTAACATATTAATACTTAAGCTCAATCTAAACATCTCTTTAATTCAACCCTTAAATCGGTTTAAGGAATTTTACACCAATATTTGAAACCACGAAAGTCCTACAGCGTTATCTCCCCCATTAGCATGTGCTGTTTGTATCGCAATAACGTTAACTTTACGACCCCCCACCCCCGGGTCCGTTGTAGGGGGGGGGGGGCAGTTTGTATCGTGGGCAGTTCTACCCCCGGGTCAAGCGTAAGGACTAGTAACGCCTTATTCAAATTGGGGTTACGCGTTTACCCATGGGTGCCATAACCGGGGGCTACAATGCCCTCTGCATTTGTTTCTTTTTCATTTTCTAAAGTGGACAAGAAAATTCAGTCTCGGATGTTCTGTTTGTTATTCTCAGGTGTTCATTTGAATATTTCCATCCACCTCGGGGATCGCTTTACATTTATTTCATCGCAAATTGTACTTGGTTAAATGGTGTTAGCTGATCAGTGTTTGGAAAAGTATTTATTTGATAAGCATGTTTAGGAACTGGCTCATAGTATTGGAACCAAAATACATGTTTTTTCGTAAACGAAAACTTATATTCTTTGACATACCAAAATATTAACTGACATTAATATTTAACTGTAATTCAAATCAAGCTTTGAGTGTAAGAATTGTCGTCAAAATTTGTATTCGCTCATCCAAAGACGAATCTTTTAAATCAACTTTTTCGCTTGCATTTATTCTATTTAGGGCTTTGAATATCTATACTTTTATGTGAAATTTATAATTATATTATTGTGGCTGAGCAACTCTAAATCAATCAAATTCGCAGAGAAAATGACTCTAACAATTCAATTTTAAGTTATGGATGTCTTCCTGAGGAGAAACTATTTAAATAATATAATGTCACGAAGCGAGATGTTTTAGTAGCCTACGCGTTGTGTATTTTTTCTTCAAAACAATTTGTTTTCACTTATTTACATACCAACACAAATACGGAGAGACCTCACTCTAGTAGCTTAACAAATAGTTCAAACCCAAAACCATTCTAAAACACAAACCATTTCCAACGTGTACTTTAAACAGAAGGAAAAATAAAGTGATATTATTTGATCATCCAAAAATGCCATAGTATGTATTCGGCGATTCTGAAACAACCATCATTGGTACAAAATTCAAAACCGATTGGAATGTTTCGTGTTATTGACAATGCGCGGATGACACTTACTGTTGTAATTATCACCGTTGCCATGACAACAACTACTCAGGCTCGTTGTACCCTCCACTTGACCGGCCCCGTTGCCCCTGGATTTTCATTTTCACCCCCCCCCCTCCCCCTTGAAAACATCACTGACAACCATCAGTTGTCTGGTATTACATTGGCAACGACTGCATAATACGCGAATGCGATGAAAAAATAGGCTAGAGGATTAGTGTATCAATATCGTGAATACAGTTTAAAAGAAAATTTACATAAGCGATGAATTAGCACTGAACCTTTTTTATGTAAACAAAAACAACATGAAGTAACTGAATTTGAGGATTACCCAAGGGGAATTTGAAAGTAGAACGTACTATATGGTATTTTAAATCTTCAATAAAATTTTGAGCCGGTAGTTGGAAAAAATAATCCGACCGATTAAGTGAAGCATTACGACCTACACTTTAAATGCATGACAAAGTTTTAAACTACTGTTTCGTAAATGCGTGACTTTTCTTGAATTCCGATAACTTAACTGTTATTTGAGTGTACAGTTTGCAGTATGGAAGCAAATTACAACTAACATAAAACTATTTTCTTAATATAAAATTTTCCATAGAATTGTTACAATTTATAATAATTGGATTACAATAAATTCAGTGTATTGACACTGAAGGTTAACAACCAAATTGCAGAATGTTTAACATGGACACAATACTATTCAAGTCAAACAGAATGGAGAACGTACAGTAGACCGACACTTGTAGTTAACACGTTAAGGTGGCGCTACAGTTAACACCCGGTCGATATTTACTCTGACTACTGGACCAGTACTGACGGAATGTGGTAAAATGACCGAGTCAAACGCAACGAGAAACGAACTGTAGCTTTTAATATACAGTATTTTATCTATGACTATTCATAGAACTATAGTCTGTGTGATGAATCCTGTCTCCACCTGGGACTGGTTCAGGATTTAAACCACTGGCTAGTCGACGGAGCATCATGAGACAGGTTCCATCACACATACTGTAGACATTCCATCCTCATTTTAAAGTCGTCACCGTGTTTTTCGATCAAAATGGATTTACCTGATGTGAGCCAGTGACGGATTGCACTAATGTAAATAAATTATGTACTGATTTCTGTTAAATACACTAAATTTTCATCGTCAAACTGATGGAGCGACTTTTTGTATATGCAACAAACTATCTCAGTACCTAACAAAAACTAATTAAAAATTGAATGTTATACTTTAACGCACTCTTTGAGTAGCTTATATAACTATGTTCTTTTTTAATAAAAAATATACTACAGGTAGTCTATAGATAAAATGTCTACTTCACTATACAAAATCTAATGCTTTTATACAACTTTGTTCCTTTGAAAAATGGAATCATAATCCCTAGTCTACCATGTATTACAGCACGCAGATGAAGTATTTTTAACGCGAAAATAAATTATAAAAGAACTCCACAAGACACTCAAAGAACGTCAAACACACCCCACTCGGCGCATCTTCCCCATCAATAAAACGTGATTGATAACACTCCGCGGAAGAAAACGTGTTGACAAAGAGCTCCGTTCTGCCCCGCGTTTCAAAATTGGAAACCAAACAGCCGTTGGGGCGGTTCATTATCAAAATCAATATTTTTTGTGCATCCTGCTGACTCATCAATTCAACACCTGTCGCGTCCGTAATTGTGTCAGTGCCTTTATGCTTCCAAATTAACGTGTTTCGATTGACACTTGAATTGTCCCGTCGCTGACGCTAGTTGGAGGCAATTTTCCCGGGTAAGGGCCACTTTTCCCGCCAAAAGTGCTGACATCGCGACTTGTATTGTATTGTTGGAGAAGGTGTTTTAGGATGTCTGTTCTGTAGGTGTCTATACATTTTTTTACTAAAAATGTGTGTAATGATAAAATGTATAATATAGATGTGTGTAATGTTTGACATTGGAAATTTTTTTAACTGAGGTAATCAAGGTTTAGCGATAAGGTCTTTTCTAGTATTCGTGGATAAATCTATGTAATTGTTTCTACTTATTTTTGTCGTATATCACCGAGCTTCTAGACACTGAAAGACACGTTTTCGATGAAAGCATTATTTTCAGTTAAAATTATTAACAAATATATGTATTAAGTTTAAACTCTCAATAGCTTCATCTGAGTATAATATTTTACAATTTTCACTTGCATCATTTTAGTGTGCTATAAAATAATTCCTTATCGCCGATCCATCACCTTAACATACGTTTAACCCTATTTGAAAATATTTAAATTGTTATCACGTTAGGAAACGTTGGAAAATAATCTTCAAATTTAGTGAACATGCTTATAAAAGAGAGTTCCTTTTCGTCTGAAACGCTTGTGATTTCGTTTTAAAGTTAACAGCTATAGGTGAGCTTCGAACCATTTGACCAAGGTATTATTGCATTGCTAAAATCCATTGGTGATTCGGTTTGTGATACTCCAAGAAAGAACGTCTGCGATCCTACCACTACACACACCCACTTTTTTCACTATTCGCAAACAAACTTTTATTCGCAAACCTTTTCACAAACTAGGAATCATTTTCAATCACCCTATAGACGATTTCTCCAAGTCCCGCATGCAAAACGCATAATGACGTAACCGCTAACGAAACGGCCTCAAATGGCCCGAGGAGACAAATGTGTTCGCGCCCTCGCGATGTTTCCATTTTATTCGAAAAGGAAATAATAAGGAGTTGGCGTCGTTGTGACATATTAAAATGACTCCCTGGGGCCGCAGTTTAGAACCCTTGCTGGTGTCACTGCCCTATTATAAGGGCAGATGATGTATAGCGCTTATCAGCCCGAGATGTACGACTGGCGATCTATCTTGCGACAGAAGGAAGTCCAAGGCTCGTTTTTCATCCCTTAAATACCTCAGTTTATTTACTGTACCGTGTCGAAGTGATGAAAATTAGGTGTAAAGAGTGGGGGAATTTGGCGGTTTGTAGGTTTAGGAAGGTAGTTTGACCTGATCTCCATAGACATATTTCCAGTTTCATTTAATAGTTCAAACATAAAATGTTTACAAGGAG